AAAAAAAAAACAAAAAACAAAAACCCAAAAACCCCAAAACCCCTATGTATATTATTTTGGGATGCCAAAATAATTTTATAGGCTTGGATACTCATAATTGATTCCCATTTATGTCATTCAATTATCAGCCATACTTTAATAAAGCTTCTAAAATTGCCATTTACCAAACTGCTGTTAGCTAATGAGTTAAGTTTTGGGGATCCTTTAAGAGTTTATGGCCATGGCTATGCACACACACACACACACACACAAATACCAGAAATACCAAATGACTGAACCAACTATTTTTGGCTAGACCTATCTTGGCAAGCATAGTTCCAAATGCCATCTCTGATACCTGATTAGCATTATATCCCTTCCATCCCATCCAAAGTTCTACAACTATTCAGCTATTATAATAATCAATAACCTAAAGACTTTTTGTTCCTCAGCAATATAAATACTCTGAAGAAGGATAACAGTTTATGAATTTACCAGAGTTGTTTTTGTTTGTTTTGCAGGGTGGGCTGGGAGAGGAGGAAGCTAAGTGAGTGCTTCAGTAAGAACTACTTGGTAGATTAAGTGCTTGGAGGCAAATATATACTTTTGAATATCATCTCAAATATAAAAGCAATCACAAATAATTCTTCATTAGAGATCTAAAACCAAGTCTTTTAAATGCTGCATTGTCTTGCTAGTTCAAAAGATTTTTAGAACATGGAAGAATTAAAGGCAATCATGTCATCTCTCCAGTGGTAGATCAGTGCCATTATAACTCCTACAAGGTTTTCTTCTAACATCAGGAATTTAATCTATCTCAATAAAGCAGTTAATATTTAAGCACTTCCTTCCCACCAAAACAAATGATATTTTGAATCTTTTTTTTTTTTAATTTTTTTAACGTTTATTTATTTTTGAGACAGAGAGAGACAGAGCATGAATGGGGGAGGGTCAGACAGAGAGTGGGAGACACAGAATCCGAAACAGGCTCCAGGCTCTGAGTTGTCAGCACAAAGGCCGACGCGGGGCTCGAACTCACGGACTGCGAGATCATGACTTGAGCCGAAATCGGACACCCAACAGACTGAGCCACCCAGGCGCCCCGATATTTTGAATCTTAATAGAGAAAGCATCCTCAAGAACAGGGGTATGCCTATAGACATAGGTTGCCTATAGGTGTTTTTTGTTGTTGTAGTAGTTGTTTTGTTTTGAACATTTTTAAAGGGGGTTTAAAAATTAAAAAAAAAAAAATCATAAGAGTAGGAGACAGAAACATGTTTTTACAGAAAGTTTGTTAACTCTTGGGCCAGAAGAAAACCTTTGTAATCTACTACATAGAATGAACACAAAGATCAAAATCTTCTATTTCAAACTGTCAAACAAACATTTAGAAGGAAATGATATTAAAACTTAAGAACTCTTTATTATAATTGATAAAGACCACATATAACAGAAATACTAGTTAATTTTGTTATGCTTTTCAAATTCTGACATGAAAAGATAAATACAAGTAACAACAGCCTAAGACATAAATCTAAATTTTTAGTTAACATGCAGCATATCTCTCTATATCCAATTGTACAAAATAAAGACAAGGGATAGCCAGGTGGACAAAATCAGCAGATCTAAATTTTGGAGAAGAACTTGTGTATTTTTCTATATTTTGCATCATTTACAAACATACTACTATCTGTAATAACTACTCTCTAAACAGTCTATAAAATGTATATATTACACTATTTAAAAATAGAACTTGGTTTTCTCTATTATCTACTTTGCTGAAGAATACTTACAGTTAAGAGTCTCAAACAGAGCAAACAGCTGTATGACAACAATCTCTTTAATCCAGATATTTTACAAAGCTCAATAAGAGAAATGTTGAATATTAGGGGAAAAAAATCCATCAGAAAAATATATATGTTATATTTTTCTAGGCAAACAGATGAGAAGGATATGTGTACAGTTTTTTGTACGAAAGGTAGAAGAGTTACTGTTTTTTGGCCACACAAATCCAATGCATTACATAAAATACCAAAACAAAATAAAAAGCTTCCAGAGAGAATAATACAATGTATTCTAAAAAGATAAAGTAGATGACTTCCAAAGTTTGTATGTAGTATATGCTTCCTCTATAAAGAAATTACCATACCTGGGCAAAAGAACTAAAGTTTGCCATAGTTTTTTGGTTTCATTAAATTTAACATTTTGAATAGGAAAAGCTTAAGAATCATTTATCACCATCTATAATAAAAGGGACCATATTTCAAAACAATAGGAACAAAACATGAGGACTAGATAATGTATCTGAATTAAGTCTAAGAGAGTCTCTAAAATCTGCTGAAGTGTTCAATTAATACCCTACTATTTTAGCAATTAACATAAATCTAGGATGCTATGCTAGTTAAAGCTGAAAGTATGAGTAAAGGGATTTAATGCTAGCATCCTTCAGTTTGTGGACCTACAGGGAATTCATGATGCATTCAAAAGATGAATGACTTAATTCAATGCAATCTAGATATTTCTATCATTAATCTTATGATGGATTTTTCCTATCAGGAAGAGAAAATATAATATGATGAAAGTGATTTTGCATAGGAAAAGGAAAGAGAAAAGAAACACATTTACTTACAGCAGGCAACCATAAAAAGTACTCACTGTTCCTGACTGTGGCATAGCAAACACATCAATCACTCTGACGGTGTAATCATCAACAAATTCTCCAAGCATAAGACCCATAACTTCCATTGGAACTCCAGCACGACCATGCTTTAACATCTGTAAAGAGAACATAGGTAGATACGAAGCTTTAAAATCTTTGGTCCTTTTTATTTTTTTAATAACCTAATTTTGCTTTAGTAGAAATAAAAACACTCTTATTATAGATGTACCTAGAACAACAGCTTCCGTTTGAGGATTAACATTAACAAATATTCCCAACTAAAAGACAGACAGTGAAAGCAATAAAGCTCTCTAAAGCAAGTAACTTTCAATACTTACTTTTAACAGTGCAAGGGAAGAAATATATACTTGCTCTGCTGTGTCCACTGCAGGAGCATCTGTGGGTGGCCCCTAGAAATAAGCACATCAATTATTATAAACACACAGTTTATGAGTTTAAAATTAGTTACATGTTATATAAACTTGATTGTTTTTAAGAGTTTTGGAAAAATATGTCAAGTATCCTTTTAGTCGGGTACAACACAAATAATCAAAACAACTTTGCAAATATCAAACCTGCTGGCAAAATAAGACAAACTTAGTACTCAGGCAAGTGTCCAATGGACATAAAGCTTAAATCTTCCAGCAATGCTTATCTACCTCTGCTACAAAATGACTACCATGCACCAATTAGCCATGTTTCTTACCACAATCTGAGACTGATTTTCAGCTACGGACAGCATGTACATTTAGGGCTATGGGATCTCTGCAGATACGTAGATGTAGTTGGGGATAGGGGACAGAAGATTTCTAATCCCTAGGTGAAAGAGCTGTGAACAACATACTATGCACTCCACCTGATGAAGTTATTCCCCTCCCCAATACAACAAATTTAACACAAGTGCACCAGGTGTGAACAAACTGGTTGAGACTGCTGTAGCTAATATGAAAATACTTTTAAATGGGGACTACTATCTTTAAAACAAATGTTACCATTAATCTTACCACAGGTTAAGGGACACATTATGCTCTCCCTAAGGATTGTGTCTTCTTCATCAAAAGTAACAAGCCTCTTTTGACTCTAACATTCGGAGACATAAGGTAATTTATATAGGGTCATTACCCTCAAGATGACTACAATCTTATACATGTATTTCTGCACACAGAAAGCTTTATTGTTTTTTAAAACTGGCACCTGGAGAAATTAAAATGAGATGTGTCCTATAATTGTCAGGTTCTGTGTTGCTTAAAGTTTCCTTTCCTTGACAATAACTCTATTACAAATTGTAAAACAAACATGTTAACTACCCAATTATAAATCAATATTCTATCTTGCTTTTATGGGTTTACTTACTAAAATTAAACAATTACTTCACTTGTTACATTTCAGACTTGTAGGTCTATGTGTATTTTGTGCTTCTTGTCTATTTGCTAAATGCTCTGATTTTTCAATTTTTATTTTTTGGTTTTGTTTAAAAGCTCATAATATTTGCCAGAAGCATAAAGTTCTATGTATATTTTCTCTAAGTATAAAAACCACATACAAAAATTATTTGTTTCTTTATGTAGAAAGGGGTGAGAAAAATCAAATGCCTCTAATTTTATTTAAAGTATTTATTTGAAAGGGAGACCTCATGTGCATGTGTGTGCATGCAA